GAGGAGGAAGAGGAGGAGGAGGAGGAGGACTGGACGTGAAGGAGCCAGGCACAGCTCGGGACTGGGGCTGCAGCTGCTCCCAGAGCTGAGCGGAGCATGGTCCTGCCCAGCACCGGACCTTGGAGAGGCCCGTGCCCACCTGGGGGACCCTGCGAGGACGGGGGCTGCTGGCTACACCTACGCTACCTGCCTGGGAAAAGCTAGCGGCAGAAAAACAGCCTTCCCTTCCCTTCCCTTCCCTTCCCTTCCTTCCCCTTCCTTTTCCTCCCCTCCGGAGGTGTCGGGAGCTGCTGCTGCTGCCACAACCAAATGGGGTGAAGACTTCGATGTGAGCCATGTATGTGCACCAGCACAAGAGCAAGCAAGTGAGCGTGAGCCCCAGCACCACGGCGAGTGAGCACGAGCCTGGATGAGCACAGGTGAGCCCCACAGCGAGAGTGAGCAAGCTTGAGCCCAGAATGAGCGAGCAAGTGAGAGCCTAGGCGGATGATGACGTCCACAGCAAATAAGCGTAAGCCCCACAGCGAGCTGCCCTCCTCCTCCCCCCGTGAGCATGTGCCCACACCAAGTGAGCTGAGCATGGGGCTCCAGGAGAAGTGAGAGAGCGTGAACATGAGCTGACGGCGAGTCCAGAACCCGTCGGCGCACAGGCGAGCAGAAGGATGGGTGGCAGTGCATGAGCGCCTGCGTGCACTGGTGCACAGCAGCAAGCATGAGCAAGAGAAACGGCGGGGAGCGAGGAGAAGCATCCACCAGCACTGAAGTGCAACAGTAAGCATGACCATCGACAACAGGAGACCTACAGGGCATCTTCAGGGAGGCGTGAGCACACAGAGGAGGGGAGGGCTAGTAAGGAAACAACCATGCGTCAGGATCCGCTGCGAAGGGCGGTGTGTGCTGGGAGGAGGAGGTTGGTGGGGGCAGCCTACCTGCCGGGCAGCACAGGGAGCGGGGGCGAGCACGTGCGCTGGGGAGGGGCTGGGAACACGTGCATACAGAGAACCGGGAGGTGTATGAGATGCAAACCGCGGGGAGCGCGTGGAGCATTCAGGACATCAGAGCAGATGCTTCCGGGATGTCAGAAGCTGGGGGAGATGGGTACACTCCCAGCACGAGGAGTCGGGGGAATCTGGGATGCCAATAGTGCAGTGAGAGCAATGGGGCACGGGACATTGGGAATTTACGTGATGTGGGTCCAGAGCAACGGCAGCTGTTCACACAGGGTAACACGGTGCAACACATACAAGGACTTTGTGGTGGCCAGTTCCACAGACAGCAGACACGGGTGTACTGAGCAATGGTGGCTGGAAAGCACACTTAGATGGGGAGGAGGAGACAGGCCTGAGCCCAGCACATTTACAGGGGCACCAGGGGGAGAAGAGCACATTTACATGGGGAACAGAGGCTATCTACGCTAGACATGGGGACTAGGAGTATGTGCACACTAACAGCAAGGGGAAACTCGTGGGCTGCGCTAACAGCGAGGGTAAGTGTGTGGGCAGGAGTGTGTGCACGCTGCGTGGACGGGTGTGTGCATGGTGTGAGAGCGTGCTGAGAGGCAGGCTGCAATTCAACCAGCAGAGATAATAGCTGCAAACATACCCTGCGCCACCTGGGGCCCACGGCTTTGCTGGCTCCCTAATGCCTCCCCTCCTCCAGGCCCCACAGCAGTTCCCAGGCGCACCGCTCAAGTCACACAGACGCGGGGTTTGGGTACTGGAGCGAGTGGGGCCCAGTGCCATGCGCTGGGCTCTGCACAGCACCACCTGGCACAGCACAGCTGGCACCAAACAGGAGGCCCAGTCACCAGGGGCTTCGTGCCACGCTCGGGGGACAGGGCCCCGAGGAGAGGAACAGCATGCTGTGCACGCACAAAGTGCAGCTCTCCCCAGTACAGATCAGGGAGCTCTGCTCACGCACACCCACTATGCCCGCACACCCACTATGCACGCACACCCACTATACACACACACCCACTA